TATTTCTTTCCCCAGCACTGTGCCGTGGATGTTTAATGTCTATAAAATGTCACGTGCATGGAAATGCATGCCGTCTGAGGGGTGTTCTCACTAACGCCCATGGCAAGGCCCATCTACAAATTTCGTAGAGAGCAACTTTCTCACAAGGCTGGGGATGCCCAGACGAAGCGATTTTTGGTGGATTTCGTATATCCCATCACTGCGGTCCCGAGGGAGTGCCATGCACATACGGATCGCCTGTGGGCTGGGTGTATAGCTGTCAGGCTGAGGACCACGGCAGGGCTGCCAGGTCTCCTGGATGGGTAAATGGGTTTGGTCTCATCCCAGTTTTATGAAAATCCTGCTTCCAAGCGAGCAAAGCAGATGAAATCTGAAAATGGTTTCTAGTTTCCTTTTCCCAGGCAGGAGAGTGATGTCACTGGTTTCCTCTTCCTTGATGGTGTCAAAGCACAGTGTTAGTTTCCTGCGTGGAAGATGGCTTCTAACAAGCCTCTCAGACTTTGAACTGACCGTGGCATAATCCTGTACTGGAGCCACGTCCGGATGGGCAGTGCCCTGCTGCTTTTTGCTTGCAGGTGCAGGAGCAGCAGGGTTTTCGACACCGGCCTTCACAGCGTGCTTTCCCTGGAGCACGCCTCGCCTCACTGGAGTGAGATCCTTAACCTGGAGGGATGAAACTGTACCTTTGTGTGAAGCAGGGAAGCTGTGAGGACTTGATGCACCTGAAAAGAGTGCTCCTTTCATATACGGTTTTGCTCTCAGTAGCAAAGAGCCTGATTCCTTTTCTTCCCTAGTCTTCTCTAGTTGCTTTAAATTCTGTAAGATGTCTTCTACCTTTTTCCAGGCCACTTCAAGCAGTATTTTCCTCACTCTGAACTTAAGGGAACATTTAACTTCCTCAGTGAATAAAGAAGCGCATATGTAGATATGATAACTATGACCACAGGTCTTTCCTTTTTCATCACAATATTCTTCTGCTTCTCATTATTCATGTCAATTCACAACAGTGTTGTGAACCGGTGCACTCTTCAGTTTGTTTCCCATGTGTTTGACAGGTCACATTCAGGTCAGGTCCAAGAAAACAAACAGTAATTCAAACTTGTATTCTGTTTTAGATCTACTCTGTATACCAAATTGTAATCCATTTTAGAAATCATGATAGTACTCATGTGAATTGGTATAAATTGTATGGTTTATTTTAGCTTGCAATTGGGAACTGTGCACATGTGCGCTACAACAGGAGCGAACAGGGGCTGTTACGAGAATGAACTCAAATGCCCATTTAAGAAGGCAAATTCTGCTTGTTTAGATGAGGCTTGTAGACTTACTTTTACAGTTTTGAGTACAAGTGGTAAAAAATCTTCGTGTGTGCTGCTTGCTACGCACATTTCTAGCACACGTATCTGATGGTGCTAACCAGGTGCCCTTTGCAGTGCCTGTGCACAGTGGGGTGGCATAGCTGGGCAGCCTAAGGAGCAGTGCACAGTGTGGTATCCGATGGTGCTGCTGAGAGGTCTATAGCTGCTTCCCAAAATCACACTTCTGTGTGAAAAAAGCTGCCAAAATACCATCTGAAAATGATATTCCAGTCATGGATTGCATATGTTTATCTGCTGTCCTAATTGTTTGGGTTCACCAACAGGTCATTAAACTAACCCTGTCCTCCACCAAAGCAATCTTAATATCTGATTATATCTCTTCCAAACTGCTGGAACTACTTAAAGAAAGGTTTTTCTCTATTCTATACTTACGTTGGCCTTTTCTTCCTTTGCAAAAACTTTTAGTGTTTGCGGGAAGGAATAAAACCAGAAATAATACTGTTGTCAGACAGCACATGTGAGACCTGCAGAGGAATGAGTGTTCATTACAGGTCTCTCTAAGCACCCCTGAAACAGGGACTGGAGTTTTGTTGAAGACTTAATTAACTTCTTGCCAAGCGTGAGCAAGACAGCTTTACCTCTGGGATTGTGCAAGCACTAGAGAGCAATGCAGTACTTCCTCCGTTTTCATTTGCAGGACACTCAGTAGTGCTGAGCACTGGGCCTTGTAGGACACTGTCCAGATTTTGAGTAGAAGCACAACACGGCACAAGGTGGTGGTCTGAGAAGGGATTCTTTGCTACCTCTTTGCTTATTTAGTCAGAAGTGACAGCCTGAGCAACAAGTTTAAATTTTTGTTAAAATCTAAAAAAAAAAAAAAAAAATTGAAATTTAAAAATTTCAAAAAACTAAGCAGACTGTAAAAATCCAGGAGCAGTTTTCTCCACAACTGGTGTAACTGGAAGGTTTCACTCTTGCTGCAGGTGTCAGTGTAAGATCATGCTGCGTGCCTAGATATTTTTGCTCTCTTCTGCGGTGAGCCTGAAGCTGAATCACGAGCTATGTCTCAAATTTCTGTAAGCATCTGTGAATCATTTCAGCACATGTGGGATCTGATCTGTTATCAGATCCAGTTATGTGGGATCTGATCTGAGATTTCTGCTGTTCATCTCTGAGTAGAATTAACTCACTGAATTTCAGTGAAAGTTTCACCACTTTCTCTTGTTGCACAAATCTGGTCTCTACATCCAGAGGTGAGCATGCTGAGTTGACAACTACTGCCCTGGACAGGACAGTGTGGATTTAGCTGCTGTAATAGAAGTGGTTGATGAACCAGCTTCTGTAGCAGCTGTGGTATAGAAGACTTGGAAAATATTGTTCAGCAGTGTGGGGTTTCTTTGTAAATATTCTTTAATAAATATTTCTTTTTTTTCTTCTAACCTTTCCCTCAGCTGAGCAACAGAAAAAATCACAGGTAAAAGGTTTACATTTACCGTTAATTAGTCTTTCTGAACACATGCTAATAGTTCATGTAGTGAATTTAAACCAACTGCTCTTTACATGGCAGATAGTCTGGGGGGGAGGGATACTAATAAACGTTTTTCAAATATTTCTTAGAACTAGAAAAAAAATCTACTGGTGGGAGGAAAAGAGCAAAATGGTTAAATAGCATGCTATTCCTGAAAAATTTTGAAAGGCAAGGTATACCCCCAGCTGGTGAAGCAAACAGTAAAAATGCTGATGGGTATGTTGAAGACCATAACAAAGGAGGTGTGGTGTATACCATGCACTTCTTAGTATATACTAATTATAACTTTAAAATCAGTATGTTTGATGGTGTAGAGATATTCTTTAAAATCTTGATGTTCATAATTGTAGAAGAGTTCTCTTGTACAGTGGAGGTGCACACAACTACTTGAAACGTTTGCTGATGAAGAACTTGTAGATAACTACCGTAGCGACAATGAAAAGAAAAAGTGTTTGAGAATGAGTCGTTTAAGTAGCTGCCAGTTACACCTCAAAGTAGAGGGGCATTTTCAGAGTGTCCTGGAACAGGGTGTTTCCTTTTGTGATCAGAGTTCTTACTGTGCTCTTTAAAATTATTACTACTTTGTGCAGAGCATACGCATGTGCTAACATCCATAGCACATGGATCAACCAGGACAAGGAAAGACAGGAAAATAATTCAAGTGACAGCTAGGCCTAACTTTTGGAACTTGGTATGTCCCACACTAGATCTGAAAGAGGGATAGATGAGCACCATGCAGACTTCAAAAGCAGTTCCAAATTTAGTAATTCAGTTAGCAATGGCACTTGGGTTACGTGTAGGTCTTTAATACAGCCACATTTCTGTAACCACAAAGAACGCGAATAATTTACAGATCTAAGGAAACAGTGTTCTGGTAGCAGCTGGGTTTCATAATGAGATCTGTTTCACCAGCTTCATGAAACTAGCCTGTATCCAGTTTCCTCACAATACATGGTAATGCAGATATAAGAGCTCTTGTCTGCACTATGCAGACTTTCTCCATGGAAGATTCTTTAGAATCAGGATTCATTTCTATAAATGAAGAGACAGAAATAAGGCTGGAGAAGCTATCGGCTCCCAGGATGGTCAATGAATGATTCAGAGGGGTTTTCAGCTACAATTGACAGAATTTTCTGCACTGCTCCCAGGTTTTGTAATGGGCAAAGCAATGACCAGAAAAATCAGGAATTTGTAATGAGTCCCTATTTGAAATTTGACAGGGACACAGCACTCTGATATTAATAGGCACGTGTAGAAACCACCAAACAAAAAAATACTGCTTAGGGGAAGTGTAGCAGAGATTGTTTAATGATTCATTTCACAGTATGTACTGAAGAGCTATATGCTGTGATCCTGGCTGATTAGTGTTACACAAGGAAGAACTGTAACGTCTCTACTTACTTGATGTTGGAAAAGAGTAGAATAATAATGATAGTAATGCATTTTTCTCTAGGTAAAGAAGAGTGGTCTAGTTGTGGTGAAAAACACGAAGATTGTCGGTCTTCATTGTTCCAGTACAGACTTGCATGCTGGCCAGATTGCACTCATTAAACACGGATCAAGACTTAAAAACTGTGATCTTTATCTTTCCAGAAAACCATGTTCAACTTGTTTAAAAATGATTGTAAACGGTAAGCAATGACTGTAGCAGAGCAGGAGTAAATGTTGTGCTTGTGATTGGTGATATCAGAAAGCCTGTTTTCTCTTTGGATGTGTCCCTAACTTGTGTAGCCTGAACTGATATTTTCCACGAGGCTGAAAACGGTACTGAATCTGAATTTCCTGGAGCTGATGAGCAAGAAACCGGGGTTTGCTACTGAGACCCTGTTTCTCTGTGCAAGTATTATTATTGGTGGTGCTTGTCTCTTGGTTGCAATGCACTGCTGAGATTCTGACATACCTGTTGTACTTTGCCAGAGCAACCCTAAGCCTGATGGCTAGGCCTACATTGCTACATTTTCCTTGCCGCCCCCCCAGTTGCTTGTCAGTGGCACCAGAGGAAGGGTGTTTTTTTTGCAGAAATCACAGGGAGTACTTTAGGGTTTCCTTTCCCCAAGTGAGATGAAGACAAGTCAGATTATTCACTTCCCAAAACGGGATCTGCTGGCATAGTCCTTCTGCAAGTATCAGGTTTTAATCTCAGCAGCAGCTTCTATTAGTACTAACTTTTTTGTGTGGTGTTAATGTATCTGTTGTAGGTAAGATGCAAAATTAGGCTGCCACAAACATCTTAGGCTGTAGGAAATTCCATTTTTTGTCAATAGTCTGATTATCAAGTCTGATAAGCTCTTGACACTCATATATGCTAGCATTTTTGTTGTCCAGATGTCTCTTAAGCAGCACTCGGGCTTAAAGCAGTAAAAACAGGGTTAGGCAGTAGTGTGTTGAAAATAAGGTTCATGTTCTACTGTGCTTGCATAGTTCCTTTTGCTGCATTATCTTCTCTTCCAGCTGGGGTGAACAGGATTTCTTACTGGCCTGCAGATCCTGAAATCAGCTTGCAGAACGAGGCGTCCAATCCCATGAGTACTGATGATGCAAAGCTAGATGCCAAAGCAGTAGAAAGACTGAAGTCAAATAGTCGTGCTCGGGTGTGTGTGTTGCTTCAACCCCTGGTGTGCTATATGGTGCAATTTGTTGAAGAAACTTCCATGAAGTTTGATTTTATTCAAAAAATAGCAAAATCTCAGCCTGACTCTAATACCGACTTTTATACTGTGTGTAGACAAGAGAGAATAAAAGAGTATGAAAGTTTATTCCTAATTTCAAATGAGGAAATGCACAAGCAAATATTGATGACAATAGGACTGGAGAACCTCTGTGAAAATCCATACTTCAGCAACCTGAGGCAAAATATGAAAGATCTCGTCTTGGTCTTGGCGACAGTGGCTGCCAGTGTCCCCATCTTTGGATCCTTTGGATTTTACAACAGCGAATCACAGCGAACAAATGAAACAGACCGTCAGGGTTTGCCCCAAGAAATCGCAAGGCACTGCATGGTACAAGCCAGACTGCTTGCATACCGGACAGGTGAGTCGTTACAGGAGTGGAGGAAGAATGGGTCTCCTGAGCAGAGCGAGTTCCTGATTTCAGTCTTATACTTCCAAATAATTCCTTGAGCAAGCTGCTGATTTCTGTTCCTACACCTGTGGAACAGGAGCAGCAGTAATAGTAAAAACTCCACAGGGGTTCATAGTATTGTGTATTGTGTCTCTTGCCAAGAGGAAATCATTGCAGATATTTTGCATACCATGCTAGCAAAGACTGCCCTGCCAACACGTCCAACACCTAGCTGAAAACAGAATACAATGACATTTAATTTCTTCAAGCTGCTCTAAGCCTTTTTTTACTGAGGTTTCACAAGATGCTTCTATTACCAAATACATGCCAATATTTCAAGCAGATTTTGTTTACTTCTTCAGCAAAAAGCAGTGAAATAATATCCTTCCAGTAGGGCATCAAGTACAGTTATATGAAGTTTCCTAGTCCAATATTATTAGTGAAATTGCTTATATGTCTGATGGGAGTTTTCTTTGTAAAGTTGCTGGGGTCTTGATGTACAGGCTTTCAGGGTAGAAGGAAGTTATTGACTGTCTTTTGATACAGATGACTTCTGTTAGATACTTTATTCTGTCTGGGTAGCAATGCAGCAAACTGGTAAGTTCTTCCAGAGAACACAATATGAATACTTAAAACTTGCTGGTGCTCCTTAGTGATGTTTTTTTCATCTAGATAGGATAGTTGTGTTTTTAAAATCCTTGTAAACAAATAAATAGTACATATTTAAAGCTTAAAACAAAACTAAGCCCCCTACAAACACACACAAAATCAACCTATGAAGTCAGGTGCTGAATGTGCCTTTTGACTTCTTACAGAATCACAGAATGGCAGCGGTTGGAAGGGACCTCTGGGGATCATCTAGTCCAAACCCCCTGCCAAAGCAGGGTCACCTACAGCAGGCTGCACAGGACCTTGTCCGGGTGGGTCTTGAATATCTCCAGAGAAGGAGACTCCACAACTCCTCTGGGCAGCCTGTTCCACTGCTCCGTCACCCTCAGTGAAGAAGTTCCTCCTCATGTTCAGCTGGAACTTCCTGTGCCTCAGTTTGTGCCCATTGCCCCTTGTCCTGCTGCTGGGCACCACTGAAAAGAGTTTGGCCCCATCCTGCTGACACCCACCCTTAAGATATTTATAAGCATTTATTAGGTCCCCTCGCAGCCTTCTCTTCTTCAGGCTAAACAAGCCCAGCTCCCTCAGCTCCAGTCCCCCCGTCATCCTCGTAGCCCTCCGCTGGACTCTCTCCAGTAGCTCTTCGTCTTTCTTGAACTGGGGAGCCCAGAACTGGACAGAGTACTCCAGATGAGGCCTCACTAGGACAGAGTAGAGGGAGAAGAGAACCTCCCCCAACCTGCTGGCCACACTCTTCTTCATGCACCCCAAGATGCCATTGGCCTTCTTGGCAACCAGGGCACACTGCTGGCTCATGGTTAACCTGTCATCCACCAGGACACCCAGGTCCCTCTCCACAGAGCTGCTCTCCAGCAGGTCAGCCCCAAGCCTGTACTGTTGCATTGGGTTGTTCCTCTGCAGGTGCAGGACCCTGCACTTGCCCTTGCTGAACCTCATCAGGTTCCTCTCTGCCCAACTCTCCAGCCTGTCCAGCTCTCACTGGATGGCAGCACAGCCTTCCGGTGTATCCCAGTTTTGTGTCATCAGCAGAGTTGCCGAGGGTACTCTGTCCATTCATCCAGGTCAGTGTTGAATACGTTGAACAAGACTGAGCTGAGTACTGAGCCGTGAGGAACCCCACTAGTTACCGGCCTCCAACTGGACTCGGCGCCGCTGATGAGAGCCCTCTGAGTTCTGCCATTCAGCCAGTTCTCAGTCCACCTCACCGTCCACTCATCTAGCCCACAATTTCAAATTCAACTTATTCAGACTTTGTAAAGGTGAATCTTCATATTTCTAGAACCTTTCCCTTTTTTTGGTTTTGGTGGTTGTTTTTTTTTCAGGTACCCTCCACAAATTTGGTCACCAAAAGTTGCAAAGGACATTGCGTTTTTAGAAGTAATTCGGAAGTTTCATTGAACCAGTTGTGAGGTTTTTGTACAACTACTGTTGTACAGAGCAGGATAGAATAACCAAGCTTGAGTACTCATTCTTGGGGCAGCAAAATTCAGTTTTATCTATGCTGTTCAGTCTGGACTCAGGTCTGTTTTTTGAGCAAACTCTTATTCCACTTTAGTTCTGTAGTGAAATTAAGATAAATAACAGCACACAAACACGTATTTAGATGCTTTAGATTATTATATAGGTGGATATAAGAGGAGCAAGATCGTAGAATGTTTTCTATGCTGGCTGAATATACATCAGTGACTAATATATACGCAGAATATAAATGAAGTCAGCTTTCATAAAGCGTATCTTTGGTTGAAAATATTTAATTGGAAGAGTGTCTTCTAATATATTAATCACTGGAAGCCTGAAACATTTTTTTCTCCTTGACATGCTCTGTTTTAACTGGTTAAGTCTCATCAGTAGCTACTGGGGAAGATTTTCAAGCTCCATAAATATCTTCCAAGTCACATAATGAAAGTTCTGTTCCAGTTTTCATGTGGTGGTAATAGGAAAAACTTCCCATAATCCGATGGTTAACATTTTGTCTCTGAATTTGGTATAAAATACAACTAATTTTGGTAGGAATTCTGACCACAGAACCATAAACTTAAGGAATGGCAGAAATTAAGTAATGAAATTACATAGTAAACAATGAGAAGGTTTTTATGAGTTTGCCGTCTCGCATCAGTGAACCTGTCCACATATATTCTTAGCACACTTTTTCTTATCTGATATATGCATTTTGTTGCTTTTGTGAACAAATGTACGTAGCACAGTCTTAGAATGGCTGGCCTTGCAGTTAAAGCACACCCAGCTTTTGTGGTAGACTGATACGACTTTGAGGCTCTGAATCCTTCTGCATTTCTTTTCTCCTGTCCGTGAAGCAATGATGAATGTTACTCCTTACTCTAGGATGTCGTATGTTAATGCATAGGTAACTCAGAAGTGCTTTGTTATTTACTGCTAAAATGTTGTGTATTTTAGAGGATCATAAAACAGGAGTTGGAGCTATTATTTGGGCAGAAGAAAAATCAGTAAGTATTGAAAAAGTTAATTTTTCTTGCTCTCACAATTCATACACTTGTGTCTGCTTTGAGCTTGCTGTTTTGCTTTAAGTTCGTACAAGTGCATTTTTCATACACACACACAGTGCTCTAGAAAGGTTGCACTTCTCATTCTGTAGTAACTAAGTTAATGACTGGTTCATTGTTATGCTGTCAAGATGAAAGGGAAGTATAAAGGAGTTTAGTAACTGCCAGAGTGTCTCTGCCTAGCTTTTGAGCGTGCTTGCTTCCCTTGTCGTCGTCAGTTACTCCAGGTGTCCTGGCTACGGAGTTTTGCTGCAGCTGCTGGTCAGGCAGCCTGTGCCTACCCTGCATGGTCCCTCTTTGCAGCGCTTTTTTGGAGAGGTCTCAGTGCGCTCATGGCCTGACAATCTCTTGAGGATCTTTGTTGCAGTTGAAATGCTGTTCTGGCTTTAGCACATTCGTTTTTGGATCAAAGTGGTATTTTTCTACAAATACTGCTACTGTGCTTTTTCCCATCCAAGCACAGTTTTTATTTCTTCATGTCTCTCATTATGCATGTTACCAATGCCAGGAAGCCTCATTCTTCGTGCAGCTACAACAGACTCTTTATTTGTTTTTAGCACTTCAGTCATCAGCTGCTTATTGCTGTTTTGTTTCTTGTTCTGATTTCCATCGCCAGTTGCTACTTTGTCAGCCCACCAATCAGTGAGTCTGTTGAGAGACAGGTAAAACACAGTCTCTGGCATGTCAGGGACTAACTCCAGCTGTCTTTAGTTTTGTACATCACAGAAAGGCTTAAGGACTGAAGCCTTCAGACTTTTTGTTCCTGCTATCAGTATTGCTTGCTAAAAGGAGAGCCTCTGAAGCCTGGTGCAGTGTGTTGTCTGCAGCGTCCCAGTTTGCCCGTGTGGCTACTGTGGAGCTTAATGGAAAAGCTCCATACAGACATGGAGCAATTAGCAAGAGCTGAGTTCTTTTTAACTGCTGTAAATTGGCATGAACTGATAATGTGAAAGTATATATTGCACAACGCTTTCACTTAGTACTCAGTTTAAATGTCTTCAAATTTGATGCTTTGCTTACTGTTGCAGAGAAGCTGTGATGGGACAGGAGCAATGTATTTTGTAGGCTGTGGTTACAATGCCTTTCCTGTTGGATCCGAGTATGCTGATTTTCCACACATGGATGATAAACAAAAGGATCGGGAAATCAGAAAGTTCAGATACATTATACATGCGGAGCAGAACGCTTTGACGTTCAGGTAATGAGTTTATTTTTACCACAGAAAAGCATGAGACTGTTCAGAAACAATTGCATGACAAATGCATGTTGTCACTGTGATGAAGTGTGAATTGCAGTCAGGATCTTGTTTATGCCTATGATGCAGAACGTGGATGTGCGTGGACACGGTCAGCTCCTGGGGTTTCTTCAGACCTCTTAAGTGAACTTGGTTTTTAAAGGATATTCACTCAAATGCGTGGCGGCTATCCTTCAGATACAAGCCACTGCCTGCCTCTGCTTCTGCTAGAACCGTGCTGTAACCTGAAATATGGAAGTGTGGCAATTGTTGAGGCTTCCAACAACGATGTGTGTGGAGGGGTGAGATGGGTGTTTTATTCACAGATAGTAAAACCAAACCAGATGTCATTGTATGCTTGTGCGCTTGAGTAGGAATAAGTTGCTTCTGAGAGGAGATAATACTTATTTGCTTGCTCTTGTGAGGTATCAAGCTTGTCACTATTCAAAACTATCAAGATATAAACTCTGAAATTCTGTGTTCTGACTGCCTGTAGGTGTCGAGAAATAAAGCCAGATGAGAGAAGCATGATATTTGTGACAAAATGTCCATGTGACGAATGTGTCCCTTTAATCAAAGGGGCTGGTATCAAGCAGATCTATGCAGGAGATGTTGATGCTGGAAAAAAGAAAGCAGACATATCCTACATGAAATTTGGTGAACTTGAGGGTGTAAGCAAATTTACAGTAAGTGTCTGAATATCCTATATTCTAAAAACTCTGGGCAGCGTGGAGGGGAGGGTGGAGTGAGCAGCCATCTGCAGCCAGCATAGAGGAGTATTTTCTTGTGCTGTTTAGTCAAGCGAGTGGAACTGAGAGGTTGCTCTGCCACGACACTGGGGGGAAGTGCTCTGCCGTGTGCCAGGTGATGGGGCCAACTGTAATCTCCTTGCAGATTTCCCTCTAACTCATTGCTGTTGTTTGAGGTGGTCTCTTCACACTGAAGTTCTCTCCAAGCCTCCCTGTCGCAGCAGGGCAGCTGATGTGGGAGATCACAGTGTGATTCTGTAGGCCCTTCCAGCAGCTCCTGAAGGAGCTGCAGTGGCTTTTGAAAGTGGCCGAGTGCACCTGCACTGGGGGTGCTCACCGTGACAAACTGCAGCACTGTCGGTTTGAGCAGGCTCGTTTCCCCTTCTCAAGGGAGTAAATGGCCACGTACTTCTTAATAGGTTTTTATCCTCAAAGCAAGTGTGTGTTGGAAGGGGAGCCCTTTGTTTCCCGCCTCACTCCTAGTCATGCCTTACAGTGAAGGACTGTAGGGTACTTTTTCTTTCTCCTTTTGCTCTTTCTTGTGTGTTCTGGAATAAGTAAAATTTTTCTTCTTCTTTTACCAGTGGCAACTAAATCCACTGCACACTAATGCCCTGGAATTTAATGACTGTACAGCCAGGGAAAGTAAGTATGTTTTTATTAATTCATTTTACGACTGAAGTCAGTAAGTGAGATCATTTTTTAAGCAAACCTGGATCCCTCTAGGATTGATTAGTCTTAATTAATTTTGATTGTGATTAGTTAAGTTTTGCTATGAAAACTTCTCCGAGCTTTTTGAGCAGATGAACTCATGGTAAGTCAAAAACATAAGCTTGTTTTAACAAATGCTTGGCATTGGCGCACGTTACAAAGTCTAGTAATGCTGTTATCAAGGTTGACAATATTCTGTTTTGCACCTAGATCATTTCAGACTACTTTATCATGTGTTAAATTTTGTCCTACAAAGACTTTTTATATTGTGTTCTATAAAGAGTGCCATTCTTTTTCAAGAGAAATTGGACTTCAAGTCATTTAAATACGTTCTGCAGAGCATTTCAGTGCTTCTTTTATGAAGTAGAATCTATGCCAGTGCTTTTCAATTAACCTTTGGTTTTGCATGTGTGTGTACACCTATATGATACAAAAGCCGCAAAGTCCTTGTTGACCTGCACCCCAGTAGCAAGGGAGCTGCCATCTTCTGAAAACAGTTTAGAGGAGTCTTATGCCGAACTCTTTTTGTGCTACACAAAAGGGACTCACCGTTGGCATCTGCTGTCAACTACCAGTACTTGAAACGTTTCTCATCCAGAGAGGAAAATAATGTGGAAAAAGAAACTAAATAATTTTCGTGCCTCGAGCATGAGCATATGGAGCGTAAAGATAGGGAGTTGGCAGTTACTCAAAGCACTGAGCACCATGCTAGGAGCATAAAAGAGCCTGAAGATGGGGTTTGTAGCACATGAATAGCCACGTACTGCGAGCTAATTCCTGACGTGTAGTGAACTAGATTAGTGGAGAAGCCTCTTTGTTAGCTATTTCCTTATGAGTCGAGGGGAAAGGAGGGAGGGAAGGGCTCAGAGCAGTGTTTATGGCGTTAGTGATCACTGCAAAATGTTAGGGCTTGTTTGTCCCTCTCTCTGCTAGTGGTTTTCAGACCCAGCTGGAGAAAGATTCCTCCTGGGGAAGGAGGAATGACAAACTTTGACAACCTTTAACAGGGCTCATTTTTCTAACAGTGTTTTCCTCAAGATGGTATGCTTGCATTTTGAACACTGAACTGTTTTAAGTTGTTATTTTTCCTTAGTATGTTTCTTTTACTATGATTATTGCACATTCCTCTGTACGGGGAAGAAGACAAGCTCCACCACCCAGTCTTATTCTAGTGTGCCTGTATGTGTTGAGCATTTAGACTGTGCTTACTATTATACTAAAGTTTCGCACATTTTTTTTTTTGTTTTAGATGGGGTGCAGAAAACAAAATCACTAGATGACCAGCAGCACCAAAACAAGAAACTGTGTCTTGGTCACTACTGAATAATTAAGCACTTCTGCAGTCTTGCTCTGTACTTTTTATAATGCAGCCTGTTTGCACTTTCAAATAAGGAAGAGTTTTATTTATTGTTTGGAAAGTGATTTTTAGAATAAGTTTATTTATGATGTCTTAAATGTTTTACAGAATTACGTGAAGGTCTTTTTAATTTAGAAGGTCCTGGGGAAAAAATGCTGCTTGTATTTTCTGTGAAAGTAACTGGGTGGCTAATCATTGTTAATACATTAAAAAAAAATACTGAAAGTTTATTGCTGGTAGATCAGAATAATAATAAAATGGTATCTTTTTTGCTTGGTGCAGGGACTGAGGGAATGGATTTCTAAGTTCTGGGCTAGCAGAACACAGAAAGAAGCCCTAGTTCTTCAAGCACAATTGTCAAGGGAATCTTCTAGGAAGTAGTAGATAAATAATCACTAGCAGTGATTCCTGTTCCTGAAAGTGGCTTTTACTTCTCGGTCTGCTTGTGTAAGGGAGACAAAGCCATTGGGATGGCAGTTGTTGCTAGGTGAGTGATGTGGAGATCAAGGCTGTCTCTCGTACATAACCTCTTCCAACTACCGTAGCCACAGGGCTGTTTTGTTCTGCGGTGCTTGTATTGCTGCGCTGCGTGCTTCCTCAAGTGCAGCCCCTCTGAATTAATGCAGACAAAGATTAGCTTTGCTTTTTCTCAGCTTCTGGATGCAGGCCTAAAGGAATTTGGCTGTGTGCATCTCCCTGGCCCCTGCACACTGTGCGAAGATTGCTAGTGTTTGGGTTTTGTTAATCGTCACTACCAGGCTTCTAGGACTGCGGAAGCTGATGAAGCGCCAGATGTCCTGTTGTTCCTCAGACAGGATGGAACCAGTGGAACAGCCTGAGTCTTTTCGGGTGCCGATCTCCTGGATGACTACGCGAGGAGCAACGGGGACTTTAAGACAGCCAGTGAAAATGCAGTCGAATGTTGTTGCTAGTTTTGGGAGGGTGCTGGGTAGGTGATGGGTATCCAGAGCAGAGATTTGTACCCAGCGTCCTTTGAGAGGTCACTCTCCTCACTCCCATCGCTTTGCTGCTTTGAATATGACCTCTAGCTGTTTGTTTTAGCAGACGTTCCAAGACTTTCTGTTCGTGTGTCTGCTTAGCTCTCAAGTGCAAACACCTCGAAGCTTTTTCTGCTGCTGCCAGTAGGAGACGGAAACAGCCTTTTCCCCGTTCTTTCACGCGTCTTGTCTTTGCTGACCTCCTTAACTTCCTGGAAGGGGAATCACGTCTTGAGATGCTGCTGCAGGTTCTGTTTGTTTCTTTTAGGCTTTGGAAAAGGTTGGAACTACATAGCAGAGCTGTGACTGGATAGTGTGCAAAGCGTCCTTAACGTGGCATTAGTTGTGTGGAGTCTGTTCTTGCCCGGTTTGGCTACTGGTGCTGTAACTGAAGGTGCAGTTCTTGATGCTTGGAGCTGCAGCAAGAAGCTGTGGTTCCCCGTGGCTTGTTTAGTATAGTTTCATTCTTCAGTACTTGGACTTCAGAACTGGGGAACGCTGGTATCCTCTTACCACCATGAGACTTCATTCTGGCTGGAGCTGGAGAGGCTGCTGTTTCTCTGAGCCTGGTTAGACTGACGGCTACTCTAGGGCTGGTGGCCGAGCGCAGTGCGTTGCAGCGTTAGCAGCAGCAGTCTCATCAGGCAGCTGGCTGACCGCCGCACCGCTGCTGCCGTGCGACGCAGGGTGCACGCAGCTTCGTTTCCCAGGACCAGGTCAGCTAAGGGAAGGATGGTGAAATCCATTTTTGCATCACACCACAAAAGAGTGCTGTTTCATGGTAGCTCGTGAGGAAGTTGCTGAACTGCCGCTTCACCAGGTCTTGTAATCTAGTGTGGAGGAACCCGGGTCCTGAATTTAGGACCAGCAGATCCAGCTGCAAGAGCTCTATGCCTCACCTGTCCGGTTTGCAGTCCAGGGCCTGGGGATTAAGTTATCGGTCTGGATGCCATACAAACCTCAGAAAGAGATTTTTCCTCTCATCAAGGATTATATAGTTTCATTGTTTGTAACTTCCATACGAGGTTAAAGTCAAATGTTGGTGTTTCATGAGCAAAATTATAATCTGGTTTTAAATCATGAATATTTTACTTTGGCATATTCCCCCCTCCCCCCCCACCACACACACAGTTCTTGTAAGCATCTTGTGTTAGAATAATTACTCTTGGCTGCTTCTACAGATCAGAAGAATGCTGTCCAGATTAGAGTAAAAAGTCTGCCCCACTCTGCCCACTGAAACCTTCTTGTTTCCATAATCTGTTGGCAATGCTCTTCTACTGGAGATAGAAGCAGGAAAAAAAACGGGCAGGTTTAAGGCCCCTTGAAGTTTTATACTGATCATTCAGCTGGTATGAAAATCAGTAAAGAAGTCTGTGTCTTTATAGGAACAGCTGAAATTGAAAAGTCCCTGAAAGATCATAGGTGGCCTGGGTACGTGGAGAGGTAAATCAAAATACAAGTCAAATATCACACACATTATATATGCTACTGGGAACCTGTACTTCATGAGGAGTGAAGAGTCTACCTTTACTTTTTATTGGTTTTTAAAAAGAGGATTTTTGTACAAAACTTTCCGTAAAACTTGGAATTGCTTGTAAGGCTGAAAGCTTGTAAGTCTGGCTTTATTTCTGTCTTGCCATATTTTGACAGATTCCTCCAGAGGTTCACAAATTTCTGTAGGCTCCGATTATCAGGATAACCCCACTGCTTTAATTCTTACTAGGATTACAAAGTAAGGTCGTTGTCCTGGCCTGCGGTAACAACGTGAGTGGGGTTTCTCTCTCACCTGTGCGCTCCGTAGGCACTGCTGGGCACCTCACCTGCTTGCCAGGGAGAGCGACGGAAGACTGGACTCCTCCCGCGGTGCTTATTTTGCAAGTGAACTCTGGGGTGTTTGTTTCTTACATAAAAAGAACAATGTATTTAAAATGAAGAAATGTAAAAGTTCTCTATATTTTATATATATTGTATGAAATTTCTGTATGCATTTTGCGTCTCTTCCGTTCATTTCAGAGCAGTCATTTTAATTGCAGGTATTAACTATCAGTAATAATTTGGCCTCTTGACTGAGGATTACAGAAATTCTCTGTTAATTTTCTGCCTTACAGCAAAACTTATTTTCTGCTAATAAATTAATCTGGCAGTAAGTACTGAAGTATATACTGAAGTGTATTTATAATTGTGTTGGGTTATTAGAAACGTTACAGAGTGCTTTGCAACGCTCACACCCGTTACCAGCCCAGCGCTGTCCTTGCTCCGGCAGTCCCGGCTGTTTGCTGAGCTGTGTCACCTCCCTCTGCTCTGCCTGAAGAATTTGTCTCAAGTGCCTCCTGCCAGCCCCGGGGAAGGGCTCGTCTCCCCTCCCTGGCCCTGCGAGCACTAATGAGTGTTAATTCCCTCTTTCTCTGGAGAGTAAGAACTGCCTCGGGGAGCACACTATGAGCTGTGAGCTGCCACCTCCACGGTCTGTGTCTTGGTTGGAAGAGATAGAAGTGGGTGAAGCTTTGACCACCCAGAAGTAGAACTGGTCCCTGCTGCACCTCCTGCCTTGCTGCCCTGGTTGGCCTGCATGGGCATGCGCTGGCGTCCTGGTCCGCAGTCACTGCAGAGGGGGATGGCTGGGGCGACAGGAGCCGACGGCTGTGCCGGCCAGCAGCGTGGCTGAAGGGGAGCGGGTCTGCGGCATGGAGCAGGTGATGCTGAAGGCCCGACCCACCCACCTAGCTCTAGCCCGGGCATGTGGGCTGAAGGCCTGTTAGCCAGCGCAGTGCATCAGGGCGGTGTCTGCAGTTCCTTTTCCTGTGTACCTTCATCTGAAAGGAATCCACTCCACGCACTACGAGACTGGCTGGTGTCACAGAGCCACACGCAGTAAGTGGGGACAGATGGGCGATGCGTCTCAGAAGGGCTCTTGAACTGAAATCATAGAATCACAGAATGCTTTGGGTTGGAAGGGACCTTCAGAGGTCATCTAGCCCAACCCCCCTGCAGTGAGCAGGGACATCTTCAACTAGATCAGGTTGTTCAGAGCCCCATCCAACCTGATCTTGAATGTTTCCAGGGATGGGGCATCGACCACCTCTCCAGGCACCCTGTTCCTAGTGACCAACCACCATTGTGGTAAAAAATGTCTTCCCTATATCCAGTCTAAATCTATTCTAGTCTGTAATCCTTCTATCTAGTTTAAATCTATTTCTTCTAGTCTAAATCTATTCTAAATCTATTCTAGTCTTCTCGTCTAAATCTACTTCTGCTTTATATCTAGTCAAATGTCATTGTAGACACGCCGTGAGCAGTCAGCGGGGCATGGTCAGCCGGGCTGGCAATGGGATGGGCTTCCCAAAGCCATGTTTAATGCGGGGACAACGCTGAGAAGCTTTGCAGTCCTCTAAAGAGATTTTTTTTGTTTCAGCCATTCTGCTTGTGAGCCAGACTTCAAACATCTGTTTGGCTTGAATTTGTTAGATCCAGTAAGCGACGAGGCTAGAAAAGCAAAGGCGGCCAATGGTGCGTGCTGATTTCCAGTCGATCTGCATGACCGCATCATTAATGAAGATGGTCACAGCGCCACATACCAGTGCTGAACTCCGCTCTGCGCAGAAAGGTAATTGCAGAGAACTGTTGTCCAACACTTGCTGATCTTCCTTGGGATCCTTCTGTTTTCCCAGACCTGCACAGCTGTCTGCTTATACGCCAGTTTCGTACGCTGCATACGTATACGCAGGCAACACCTAGTCTTGAGGATTTTCAGATACCGGGCAGGACATAGTGCTCAGTGTTTTGCAGTTTTGTTCCCTCTTTGAAGGGGAAAGGGGCACCAGACATCTTCCACGGGAACCCACCTCCTTCTGGTAACGTGATGGATACAAGCCAGGCCGAGACAGGGGCTGTTACCTTCACGCCATCCCCAAACGCTCTCTTGAAACTCTGCGTACTGCTGCGTGGCGTGCGCTGCTGCTCGCGGTCAGAGGTGAATTGTTAAAGATTTTATCCTCACACGAGTGGGTTACACTAGGTATTGCTTTATTCACAACTCAGAGTTGGGCCATCTCCTCAGTGAGTAGCAAAGCTTAACTCGCTAAACCAGTTTATATACATTTATTAAACCGATTACATCAAGTCTAGAATCTTCGTAAGTTTCTAAGCAACTGTTCCGTTCCTTTAAGTACATCATTTATGAAGTTCTTGCTATTCTTCTGTCTTCGTAGAATTCTCCCTCACTG